GAGAGTCCAAATTATCAATATAATATAAAATGTGATATATTTTGAAGGCCGGAATATTTGTTAATTTAAGTAACAACCAATCTCTCACATTCGACCAAAACAATTCAGAAAAGGGGCAAGAGAAAAATAAATGTTCCAACGATTCATCAGATAAATTACAAAAGGAACATGGTTCCACTTCAAATTTAAATCTTGAATTTAAAAAAGTAGAAACCGGGTAGATTTTATGAAGAATTTTAAAATGAGTTTCTTTTGCTTTAGGGGAAATAGGCCATTTTATAAAATCAGATAGAGCTTTTTCCATTACAGATAAAGTGTCTAAATCGGTCACTTGAGGAAATAAGCCTCTGTTAAAATTGTGAAAAATGTGGGATTTCAGGGAAGCATTAATAGATTTGTTATTCTTAAGAGTATCGCCAATAATTTCCAAATTAGGTAAAACTGATACAACATTTGAGTACAGTAAAGTATTATGAATCATTCCAATAAGTGGTACAGGAATTGCTTTACAGATTTTGTTATAATCTTTAGCAGTACACGTTATATTGTATTTCGTTGAAAAGGCCAAAACATCTAGCAGTTTACCATTGCAATCTAGTAAATCTCTAACAAACAAAATACCCCTCTCATGCCAATCACTCCTAACAAGGATTTTCTGTTTATGATAATCACTCTATTGTTCCATAACGTAGATCCATGAGGAGAAAAATTGTGGGTAAATATCATCTTCCAATAATGAAGTATCTGCTTATGAAAATTTGACAATTTGGTCGGAATCTTATTAACCTCAAAATCACATTTTAAAAGAAAATCAAACCCTCCTAGACGTTTAAATATGGCCTTTGGAATATGGAACCACATGGATTCTGGCTGGGACAAAAAGGCTTTCAACCATTTTATTTTAATTGTTCCAATCATCGATTCAAAGTCTAAAGCTTTAATTCCGCCTTTATCATATTCTTTAACAAGCTGTGACTTTTTAATGTAGTGAGTTTTATTTCTCCACAAGAATTGGAAAATAATTGAGTTGGCTTTTTTTATATTAGCCGAAGAGACAAAACATGAGTGGCATGGATAAATAAGTTTAGATATACCTTCTGCTTTAGTAAGAAGAACTCTGCCAAAAATAGTAAGATCTCTAGTTAACCAACGACTGAGAGATTTCTTCATATCTGTGATACGGTTACAAATATTAAGATCTTCTCTCCTGATATAATTTTTAGATAATGTTATTCCCAAATATTTCACTTCAGGTACCACTCTAATAGAGTCAATAGTGGAATCATCACATGAATGGATAGGGAGTAATTCACATTTTGAAAGATTAAGAGATAACCCTGATGCTTTTGAAAAAATTGAAATTGTGTTAAGAGTTTCCTTTACCATGGATTTATTCTTTAGGAAAATGGATGTGTCATCCGCAAATTGACTAATTTTGAACTCTTTGTCAAAGAGGGTAATGCCTAATATTTTGTGATTCTTTATAATAAGCGTTGTTAATACTTGGGTGGTCAGAATAAATAATTTGGGGGAAATAGGACAACCCTGTCGAATACCACGTAAAACCTTAAACCTAGGGCTCATTCCAGGGTTCAAAGATACAGAACTATAAATGTCCGAGTAGAGCATCCTAATTATGTTGCAGAAATGTTCACCAAAACCCAGAAATGTGAAATACACGTGTTGAAGCGGTTCGCTGCTGATTACTACGATTCCGTACAGCCAATCACAATGGGTGACGTCATTGGTAAGCGACGGACCCCGAACACATATGGTAGGGCGAACACATATGGTACTGACACCGTCTCGTGGAGCTTGACACAATCCGGTGTATATTGCGTGGGGACGGAAGGTTTTTTGCGGTTGCATTTGCGTTACTCCGATGCGTTTTGCCGTTTTCGTCCCCGTGGAGCCGGGGCTTAAGTCACTACCCTTTTGAAACCTTTTTTTTGCTTTTACCTTTTTTTCTATTTTTTACAGATTGTGTTTTTATGCAGGCTTTATTTTCAAGCTAATTTCAGGGAATACCAGTCTTACTTAAACTATATTACAGAAACATTTTCTTCTGTAGATTTCGAAGGCAGAGGAAATGTAACGCAAATTACATTCCCATCAGCCTCAGCTGCACTTTGCGTTTGATTATAAACCATTATGGTAAACATGGTAAACGATACATCTGATAGCATCGTCATTTTGAACAGGTTAGCATACTGACTTTAGCATTTTACCCCCAAAAGTACAGCTTCACAAAGCCATTGGCAGGGATGTGAACTCTTAGTCAAGATACAAATAACTTATTAATATACATATTTTTAACAGTTATTGATTTTGTGTGTTCAGACCAGGTCCAGGAGGAGATGAGCAGAGTGATAGGAAGCCGTCAGGCAGGGGTCGATGACCGGAAGAACCTGCCGTACACTGATGCTGTCATCCATGAGATACAGAGACTGGCCAACATTGTCCCCATGGCCATTCCTCATAAAACCAGCCGAGATGTCACCTTCCAAGGATACTTCATCAAAGAGGTCAGGTGTTAAGGTGTTTCAATACTTAGCCACAACAAAATATGCCAGAGATTCTCATTCTCTTCATACTTGTTATGATACACCTTGCCCTCTGCTTTTTCCTACAGGGGACTACTGTGCTTCCTCTTCTTACTTCTGTCCTGTATGATGAGAGTGAATGGGAAACACCACACACTTTCAACCCTTCCCACTTCCTGGATAAGGAGGGTAAATTTTTCAGGAGGGACGCCTTCATGCCATTTTCTGCAGGTACCAACTTTGTATTTAAATATATTACCATTCTAAAGATGCGATCCAGTTTAACTACATGCAAATCAATTTTTCTCTCAAAGGTCGCAGGGTGTGTCTGGGGGAGAGTCTGGCCAAGATGGAGCTGTTCCTCTTCTTCACCTTCCTCCTCCAGCGCTTTCGTTACACTCCTCCACCTGGAGTTACAGAGGATGAACTGGATCTCACTCCAGCTGTGGGCTTCACCCTCAGTCCGTCACCTCATGAGCTGTGTGCCGTTAGACGCCAATGAGTAATGGAGCTAGGGCACTGCATTATAACTGCTTGTAAAAATGATTTGTGTTTAACTCTTATTAATCAGCTAGCATTTGTCCTATTCTCATGAAGTTGTCTGAAATTGTATTTTAGAAATAATGTTATATTACTATAACATTTTTAGAACTGCCTCTTCATACAGCTGATACCTCATGTTTATCTTCAATGTACAATCAATTGCATTTATTTACCAATCTTATATTTTTGTCACCATTTTTTACCTTGAAAATAAATACTTAATAATTCAAAGAAAATTCTGGATTCAAGCGTTGTGCTTCTGCTTGCTAACTTGCTAAAAAGTACACACAGGTCCTTGATCATTCATTGCTGCCCATTGTAGGCCTACTTCTCTAGAAATAAAAGGACTATTTTGTTTGCATACAGTAAGCACAGTGTAGGTCGATTTAAATAGGTTTCTTTTGTGCCATTGAGATGGTGGTGAAGAACTTAAGATAGCTCTCAGCCTAAAAGCATTCAAGAACTTTGAGTGAATTGAGAAATGCTGTTTGTTTGTAACAAATGCTTAACTAGCCAAATAGTCCCACCAAATAAACACTAAGATTTTTGTGACCAGCTTTTGTTTATTTCAGTTTTTTATCTTCATATTTGTTTTTCCTTTTTGCCGTGGGGGGACAAAAATCCTCCTTGGGTTTCTTGAAATGCGCTATATAAATCCAAATTATTTTTATTATTATTTAGGCTTCTTCTAAAGTTATAAGTCATTGAACTCATAAAATGCTCACTTTGTGTTAACAAACCTTAACTGTGTTTTACTTTCCACACGCATATGTGCAGCTTTGTGTTTTTTATTTAAGTTGTGAAATGTGGTTCCAGGTTCTTGTCAAGGTTGGGGAAAATCAGGACCCAAATGCAGGATGAGTAGAAGCGGGTTTTAAACAAAAAGCGAGCTTTATTTAACAAAAAAGCTGTTGACCATGAAACAAGAATAAATCCAAAAACTGGTAGCATCTAGACAAAAACTGACAGGAACAAACAGAGGTGCAAGGAGGACATGAAAGAAGAAGATCAGACAAGGGCAACGGGTGAACACAAATGAGGCACAATCAGACACAGGAGGGCAAACACAGGGAGAACAGAATTTCAAAATAAACCCATAACTAAACACACAAAACTAAAATCATGACAGTTCTAGGCTTTTACATATACTGGTTCTATCCATGGCTCAAAACAATTTAGCATATTCTTGTTTTTCTCAATCTACTCTTTGAATATCCTGCCTGTATTCACCAGATCTTGCATTTGAATTGCTTAATCATGCCTGGCAGATTGATTAGATCTGTGATGGGCTGGCTGACCTGCTCATTCACACCTAAACAAGTAGCCTTTACAAAAGGAGGTGAGGACTTTGTGGTCCAAAGCCCCATAAGAGAGGAAGAGAAAGGCTACATCTTGACAGAAACTTGAGGAAAAACTAAGACCTGTATGGGACAATCAAGCATTTATTTCTTCCTTGAACACTGAAAACAGCTGTTCGACGACAATATTTTCTAAAGGAAGTCAAGTCCCGGTGACAGCAGGATCATGTTGGAGGATCTTTTCCAGTCTAGCACTTCAGTCTTTTTGTCTGTGGCCATTGTGGGTCTGCTTGTCCTCCATCTTGTTTACTCAAGCTTCAGCTCCAAAAGCAGGAAGAGGGAGCCACCGGGGCCTAGACCATTTACCCTGCTTGCTTCAGGTAGATCTCAAGAGACTCGACCACTCTCTTGTTGATGTGAGAACTGTTTTGTTTGTCTTAAGCTATAAGGTATTTTCATTGCTTTAATATGAGACAAATAAAACTGTATTTTAACATTGTTAATTCAATTAGAATTCCTACAGAGGAGAGTCTGTAGACAGTCAGTCTCACTATTTATTGCTCCATCTTTTTAGCTGTCCAAAAAATATGGACCAGTGTTCACAGTCTACTTAGGAATGCAGAAGGTGGTGGTCCTGGCAGGATACAAGACAGTCGAACAGGCTCTGGTCAACCATGCTGAGGAGTTTGGAGAACGAGAAGTCACTCCAATATTCGATGATTTCAACAAAGGACACGGTAAAGAAATGTTTCTTTGCTTTGTTTTACTAGCCTGATTTTGTCCTTGTAAAAAAACTCTTCTATCAAGGCATACAGCTGGGGCTTGAGATCTCATGGCTGTCATAATTGTTACATTAAGTCCTAAAACAATGAATGTGTTTGGTATTCTGCTGTATTACAGATATACAACGCGTTTCCTTGGCTGGGACCTTGTATTAAAAACTGGAGGGATTTGATGAAACTGGTGGAGGACAGCATCAAGGAAACAAAGAGCATGATAGCTGACCTGAAGGAGACTCTGAACCCTGACATGTGCCGATGCTTTTTGGATGCATTCCAGACCCGTAAACTGAGTCTTGAGGTAATATGTCTAACTCCAGTGAAACCACCCCGGTTGATGATACTGATCACTGATTAATTTGCCTGTGGCCCTGAGAGATCCTCACACTGCAAATGAAGGAAACACATGCAAAAAGACACAACAGGGTAAAGAGGTTAACCTATTGCAAGATATCCTCACTCTACCCTGCCATGCATTGGTAAACAGACCTATGTTTATATGACTTTTTACAGACCAGTCAAACCGCTCCTTAAGTCTTCAGCCTCCAAAACATTAATCTCCAAACCCTCCTGTTATATTCGTTTTTTGTAACAGCAATAATATTCGTGGGTCAATTTGACCCACTGCATGTTTAATTATCCAAAAATGGTCAGAAGCCCCAAAATCCAGATATTTTTTTGTACATAGTTTGTACCTTTTATTACTATCAATGAAATCAATATTTAGTGCAATTGTGTTATTCACCTCTCACAGATCATGGTTCCATTAGAATAAGTCACTCGTTTTTCACAAAACATACATTCAAACACATTTTTCTATTTTCTTTTTTACATTGGAAAAACCTTGATATAAAATACATTAGTTTTGCATAACATAACATTTTTAAAATTACTTTTAAAATGTTCCAACTTGTTTTCCAATTGGTTGATGTTGATACATAGAGACGAGATACCTCTTCTGTTCAGGGTCAAATTGACCCGTTCACTTAGAATCAAGCCAAATGAGTCATAAGGATTTGTATTGAAAGTATTTTATATAACAGCAATTAAGAATGTGTGTGTGTGTGTGTGTGTGTGTGTGTGTGTGTGTGTGTGTGTGTGTGTGTGTGTGTGTGTGTGTGTGTGTGTGTGTGTGTGTGTGTGTGTGTGTGTGTGTGTGTGTGTGTGTGTGTGGTGTATTTCGTAGATTTTCAAACTTTCAAACGGGTCAATGTGACCCTGAATGTAACAGGAGGGTTAAAGTCCTTCTGCTTTGACTGCCAGGATGTGTCCAGTGTAAACACAGTCAAACATAGATGCCACCTAACTAATGTGAGCCAAACGGACGTGTGTGTGTGCGCAGTACTGTATCCTCCCACCAGCGGCAGAGCCTATATCAACGGCTACGACATCTGCCAGGACATGGCTCTGATCCGCCGCAGCCTCGGACTCTGTCCCCAGCATGACGTCCTGTTTGATAACCTCACCGTCAGTGAGCACCTGCTCTTCACAATCATGTACTAGTACACACTTAACCTGGCAGTGGCTCAGTCGGTAGGGGCTTGGACTGTGAGCCGTAAGGTTGTCGGTTCAAGTCCACGAACATACCTAAATATGGAGTATGGACTGCTACTTGGAGAGGTACCAGTTCACCTCCTGGGCCCTGCCGTGGTGCCCTTGAGCAAGGCACCGGACAACCCCCTTCCCCCCCACTCCCATTGCTACCCGGGCGCTGTGCAGAGAACACATTTCACTGTGTGTGCTGTGTGCTCTGCATTTGTGACCATTACAGAGGGTTTCATCCTCCAATGCTATCTTCTATCTATTATACAAAAAGAAAACTGCAAATACACATTAGTTTATTGTTATCCTGCTCGTTCATTGTTGGTAGAGAAACTTATTGTGCTGTGTTCTCTTTATGTCTTTAGGTACACCTGTACAAACGTATACATTAGCTCATCCATAAAAGCAACTTTCACAAAGTTTACAATTGCTTGTTTTTGTTTTCTAGAGGTCAACTTTATTTTATAATTGGTGTTTTAATCTTCTCAATATCCAGCTGAAAGGCTTCTCCAGAGACAAGATTCCAGACGAGGTAGACCGCACCATCCGTATCCTGAACCTCGAAGATAAGCGCCACGCTCGCTCAAAGACCCTCTCCGGTGGCATGAAGAGAAAGCTCTCCATTGGTATTGCCCTCATTGGAGACTCCAAGGTGAAGAATGTCATGAACATTATTCACATTCCTTCCTATTTATCCAATCCTTCCTTCATATTGAACATGTCTCATCCCTTTATTTTCAATCTTATCTATCTTCAGGTGGTCATGTTGGATGAGCCCACATCAGGTATGGATCCGTCAGCTCGACGTGCCACCTGGGACCTCTTGCAGGGGGAGAAGAGGGGTCGCACCATCCTGCTCACCACACACTTCATGGACGAGGCTGACCTGCTCGGCGACCGCATCGCCATCATGGCAGGAGGAGAGCTGCAGTGCTGCGGGTCACCACTATTCCTTAAGAACAAATATGGTAAGAGTTGAGTGGAAATACTGTTGCAGCAGGAAGTCACTGGCAGTAAGTAACCCAATGGATTTTGGATTGTTAAAATACATCCATCCTTTTTTATTTAAATGTTATTATTTCTGTTTCAGCAACTTATATAATCATGCTTACAATAGTGTTTGTTTTTCTCCTTTTTTTTTGCTCTTTTATTTACAGTTTATAGATTATTAAACCAAAAATAAAATATCACCTTCACTTTAAGCATTAATTGTGATAGTTATGGTAAGATGCAAATGAGAATAAAAAGTAATAATTGTAACACAAAAATGGGAAAGGAATAGAGTTCACTAAAGGGAATTGTGTGTGTGTGTGTGTGTGTGTGTGTGTGTGTGTGTGTGTGTGTGTGTGTGTGTGTGTGTGTGTGTGTGTGTGTGTGTGTGTGTGTGTGTGTGTGTGTGTGTGTGTGTGTGTATATTTTTCGTAGATTTTCAAACTTTCAAACGGGTCAATGTGACCCTGAATGTAACAGGAGGGTTAAAGTCCTTCTGCTTTGACTGCCAGGATTGGATCTGTGTCACAAACACCGTCCTCGTGGGCGGGGACCAGCCCATAATGCTCCTTTACCTAAAGCTCAGTCAACAACATTCCATATTATTTGTGCTTGCATGAGGAGCGTGAACACCACGGTGTTATCTGCAGGGCTAAGCACTGTCAACAGCAGAACAAATGTCTCTTTGGCACGATTTTGTTCCCATCTTTTTCTCTAATCCCACCACTTTGTTGGGGTTGGTGGCTCTCCTGCTCATCCTCTATCTTGTATCCAGTAGTTTAATCACCAAGGAAATAGGGAAGGGGCCCCCAGGACCGAGGCCTCTTCCCCTGCTTGGTAACCTGTTGCAGCTTTATGAAAAATACTTGTGATAGTCAGACATGACAACCTGTGCAGCCCATGTATTGATTCCATCTGATAGCTGCTATAATAACAAACAAAACGCCTGCCTGCTCTCCACAATAATCAATAACAGCGAACGGATGGTCAAAGTAAGGTACAAATAAACAGAATCACACGAAGCCTGGTTAGTGTTGCCTGACTTTATAAAGTGTTTTTTTTTTTATAAGTGTGTGGTTGCCTTCTAGTCACTTTGCTCAGCGCTACTGCTTGTAGGCAGGCATGACGAGACTCTTCAGTCGACCCATGTTCAGGGGAGGTGGGTTTAGTTTCCTGCACGCCTCGACGTAACGCAGCCTACACACGGCGGCGTGCGTTGCCGCTTGGCGGTGGGCGTGTCTTGAGCTTGGGGAGTTTACGCGAGCAACGCGACCAACAACCAATCACATGAATCTCCCGTGTCTCTCCCCAAGGGCTGGAAAATTGAAGAAGGGGCCACGATTATTTTCTCGTCCATTTTTTGGCATATGAGGAAATGAACTGCGGTCTGGCTCTCTCAGCATACACGCGGTTTGATTGGCTAGCGCGTGAACTGTCAGATTTGCATACGCGGGATTTGATTGGCTGCCGCCTCCGCCTCAGCTTCAAAAGTAGAACATTGCTCTACTTTTGCAGCGAGCACCGCGAGGAAAGCTACGCTTTGCTCCCAGAATGCAGTTCGGCAAATCGTGACGTCACCCCATTCAAAGTGAATGGGCAGAAGCGTTGAAGAGTCACCGCACGCCGCCGTGTGTAGGGGCCGTAATGGTACGTCTACACAGCAGCGTTAAAAAAATCTTGGAGGTGGGCGTATCTGAAGCTTGGGGATTTTTTGCGAACAACCAATCACATGAATCTCCCGCCCGCGACATACGAAGCAAAAAAGCCCGAAGTAAACTGGATATAAACTCCCCAAACAGGCGAAAACATACCACTGTCTCTGCCACCTCCCTCCATGCCTGGCTCCTCCGGTTTATATCCCGGTAGGTAAATAGGGACTGGTCATAAAGCACCGGGTGATTGATTCGCTACCGCTAATTTCTCCTCCATTTTTTGGAATATGAGGAAATGACCTGCGGTATGTCTCTCCCAGCATACACGCCGTTTGATTGGCTAGAGCTTGAACTGCCAGATTTGCGTACACGGGATTTGATTGGCTGCCGCTTCCACCTCAGCTTCAAAAGTTGAACATTGTTCAACTTTGAATCTTGAAAATCCTGAAAATCTCCGCTCGCCTGCCCACAATGCATTTCGGCGAAAAGTGAGGGAAAGTGACGTCACCCCATTCAAAGTGAATGGGCAGAAGCGTTTCAAGATTTTTTTAACGCTGCTGTGTAGACGTACCACTTGAACCTGAACACACACATGCACATGTGCAATATGTGGTGTAATGTTTTGGGGTCATAAAATACAATTACAACAGGATTGTACGGTTATGAATGCATAATAAGTTAGTTATGATGTAGTTAAAACAATATTGGATGATAGTCATTTTGTTTGTGTGTTTTGGACTGAAATACATCATGGGTCAAAATTGACCCGCGAACACCATGAACGGTAACAGCTTTCGAACACTTCATGGGTTGTTTTTATAGGCAATCATTTAAGCTTTGTTAGTTCCCAGTTTAATATGTGCAATAAGTTCATTTCAATAAGTTTTGCAATAAACATTGAACCAGTCCGGCCCTCGACTAGTACCGCTTTTTTAATTTTGGCCCACTGTGTATTTGAGTTTGACACCCCTGTTCTAGTAAGTCATACAGTATAAACTCAGACAGAGTATATCCTCCTTCTTGTGTGTACTTTAAAGGTGTTTTCATTAACCCAGGTTTAGCAGTCTTAACAAGTCTGTGAAAATGTGTGTACTGTGATTTGGTGGGATCAGACATTTCAACATTTGAAAACAATGTTAATTTTTAATAATTATATCCTGTATTGATATTAAAGGTGGGGTAGGTAATTTTGGAGAAACCAGCTTGAGTGCGCTCAAATTTGAAAATACACAGCCGGGAAAAATCTGCCACTTCCTTACAAAGCCCCTCCTCCAACACACACGAACGCGCACATGACCAATGAGGGCATGAGATAAGTTTGTGCACAGATGGAAGGCTGACAGGCAGGTAGGCCATCCAGTTATTTTAGCCGGGCTGGCTAAAATGATTGGTCTTGCTTTTTACAGTACTACGGCTTCCACAGATTTTTTTTTTTTATGGATTTTTGGTCAAAGCACTTAAGATATTCATTGCTATCGGGATGTTAAGAGCATTCCATGGAATATAACAAAAAGTGTATCTCGAGCCGGTTTCTCAAACTTACCTACCCCACCTTTAATTATGTATTTGAAAAGCTTTTTATTTATTTATTTGGCGATCAGAATTAACAGCAAGATGCTATTTTACACTCCTAACCGCCGTCTAAAGACTATTTGTATATTCTGCGTACTTGTACATGTTTTTTATATACACTTTCAAGTTGTGGTTGAAATATGAGGGCGAGTAGTTGCATAATTCTTCCTGCAGGGGGAGTGACAGACCCATTAAGCAAAGTGACCCAGTATTCTCTTTCTGAAAGACAAAAATTGTGTGTGCGTGTGTGTGTGTTTACAGACAGCCTGTGGATAAATCATGTGTGTGAGCACCTGCTGGGCGGTGACTCTGCAGCTGCAACTACAAACCACCTGCTTCTGCCAGCTGAGTCTGTCAGAAAATGAAAATGAGATGGATAATTGATCTAAAAACACATACCACCTCAACGTCTACAAATATCAAAAACATATTTACTGTATGCCAGGCAAGATATTCAGTCTTTAATGTACTTCATCAACCTAGCACTTGTAATCTGTTCTCATCCTGGACCCTACATGCATGATTCACTCCTCCTGCTCTTAAATGGTGTCCAGACGACTCTGTTGTGTGAGATCATATGATGACTTGGTACTCTTCATCGTGATGATCTGGTGTAATTATAACCTGTCGCAGACACCATAAACGGCTGTGATAGCTGTGTGAGGCTCAGTGAGTCTACACTGTATATTTAAATATAGAAGTCATTTTAAATATAGAAGAGCCTTGAGGTCATGTCACAAGCTTTATTCAGATATTCAACAAGTGGAACTGTATACATTTGAGAAGATTTAATTATTAAGTTTGACACGTATCTGGAAAACCCCTAACCAGAAAGAAAGTTTGATACCACTCTGATATGAAACTGAAGTTTGTTGGCTTGGCTCAGTATAAAGAATGGGAACTGATGGACAATGTTGAAAATAAAATGCTATTTGCATCCGGGTGACTATAGTGAATAATGCTATTTGAAACCGGGTAAAAATTGTGAACAATGTTATATGCAACCAGATGACTATAGGCGACAATACTATTTGCAACTGGACTGTGTATGGCAACATTGCATGGGCTAAATGTTAAAAAGCCATCTTTTTAATAATTACATTAGAATGTCATTCCTTTACAGGCATACTGCAACATACACACACCTTTTCAAATATACAAACATTTGCATTACTTTAAAAATGTATTTTCATTGACCCGTAATTGCAATCTTGCGGGAGACAGTGAAAAGAAACTATAAGTGTACCATAGAGATAATGATTATTTTCATCAAGACTGAGATTACAATGATTTATTATGATTAATAATCAATGGTGCAAGTGACAAATTATGTTAATACACTTAAATAAATAGACACATCTAATGCCAGGCTAGCTCATTCCTTGTTTCAGCTGTTGTGCTAAGCTAAGCCAAGTGACTGCTTACTGTAGCTCAATATTTAGACGGATACAAGAGTTACCAAAGAACAGAATAAGTGTATTATTTCACATGTAGAACAAAATTAATACATGAGGTTATTACTATGCCCTCATTTAATTTACTCCTTTCATCCATCTTTGAAAAGAGTATTGTGATAATACATCTAACTTTGAGAGAAGAGTGTAAATTCAAGGGCAATATTTGGTTGATTTCTCACGTGCTTCTTTCTGAAAATGTTCACAATTTGATCAAAGGATGCCAGGCTCTCTCTGCACGATCCCGCACTCTTCTCTACACCCTTTCTGTCTCCCACTCGTTTTATGTTCCCTGTGTAGTCTTTCATATT